AGTCGATTGAAGATGCAAAAGAAGTGGGTGTACCTGTAATTGTCCGTGTTAGAAATTCTATTAAAGAAATTGAAGAGCGACGCACAGCAAAACTACAACATATGGGTGTCATAGGAAGTGTCACATATAAAAAACCGGATTTAGCAGTTGAGTTAATGCAGCTAAATTTCAGAAGAGTCCATTTCAAATGGCAACTAGGAAATAAAATAGGTATGCGATTATTTAAGTTAAGTTTATATAGCTAATTTTTGAATGTAATATAGCTATTATAGGTAATATAGCTATTTTTTGAATGTGTTCTGTAATTCTATAAATGCATTCTGTATATTTACAGTCTCTAAGTTAGGTGGTTTGCATTAATTATCAAAATAATAATAATATGCACTATGCAAAATTTAAAAGTCTTTCAATTTTGATTCTCCAAGTTAAAGTCAACTACTGCGGTGTTTAGGAGAATTCTTAAGATTCGTGTTTATCAACCCAAAAAAAATTTCAAAACTTTGTCAAGATGTCATTTTTTTATGCGTCTCTATTATTTCAATTATGTCATTTCATTATCTCAATTAGTTAACAGTTTGAAAGATTTGGTTTAATATTAAAAAAATTTGATTATCAATAGGAGAAGGCCAGTTTGGAAAAGTATTTTCATGCATCAATCTTGATACTGGAGAGCTTATGGCAATGAAACAAGTTAATTTTTTCAGTTGTTTTTTTCATAATTTTATTTTATAATTTGTTTTTTTAGTATTTTTATAGAATAAACATAACTTTCTTAATAAAAAATTTTTTTTTTGGTAATTTTGTTTCTGCAATATAGATTCGATTTAATCCAAATGACTATGCAACTATCCAATCAATAGCTGACGAAATAACAAATGTACAAAGTGTTAAACATGAAAGTTTAGTCAAGTATTATGGTGTTGAAGTTCACAAGGTAATATTTATTGTTTGTCATGCTATGTTGTTAGTGTTTTTATATGCTCGTTTTGTTACATGGTAACTATGTTTTCAATTTTTTATGTTACATAGAATATTATATATATACACTATGTATATTATACACTATAGACACTATTTATATAATACATAGTGTCTATACTATATTTCTATAGTTTTTGTCATCCTAAACCTGTTTTTTTAATCTCCTTTGTTGTCTGTTATTTTTCAATTATATTTGATCTATTTTATTGTCTGTTACCTAATATTCTGTCTACTTTATTTTTTTGTTAAAAACATTATGTGAAAATATGGGGATTTAACTATAAATTTTATTTATATTCACTACTTGTTGTCTTGAGTTTTATGTTCACTACTTGTTGTCTTGATTTTTATGTTCATTACTTGTTGTCTTGAGTTTTACAATCTTCTTTACTAGTATTTTACTTTTTACATTCTTAAAATGTCTTTAAAAATTTATTTTTAGTTTTTGTTTGTTATCTTTTTAAGAAATTGAGAAATATATCGAATCATTTTTAAGGATGAAATGCTTATATTTATGGAATACTGTGAAGATGGTACAATTGCAGAAGTGGCAAAACTTGGTCTTCCAGAATCTTTAATTCGTGTTTACACTTATCAGATTATAAAAGCTGTAGACTTTTTACATCAAAATGGCATTATCCACAGGGATATTAAAGGTATTTTAATATACTGCTTTATTTCAGATTTTTTGTTGTGTGCAACATAATAGTAATTCAACTATTTAAGTCTTAGCTTTAAAAATTATCTAATATATATTTTTAACTACATTTTAAATTTGTTCATAGATTTATTGTTATTATAGTTTATTTTAAAACTATTTATACTAATATATATTTTATATACTATAACTGTCTCTCAAATTCACTAAAATGAAAGTCAAAAATAAGTCACATTTTTGATTTTTATATGTTATATATGTAAAGCACAAAGTTAGGGATGTCATTTCATAACATTGGTGCATACTTGGGCAAAATTAGGTCTTGTAATTAAAAATCCTCTTTGTAACCATATATTTAAAAAGAGTTTTTAAATTCATCTCTGTAGCCATAATTGCAGAAGGAGACATCTACAAATTCAGAAAAGACTATAACATGTGACATAAAAATAAAGAGTCGAGCTGTAGACTAAGAAGGAAAAGTTCAAAATTATAAATTGCTTTAGCAAGGAATCTTGTATGATGGAAGACACCAGGTCTTTTAAAATGAAATCCTGTAACAAAACCATCTAATTGAATGACTTTCATCTGGCAAAGGTTATAGTCACCGCTGGATAATGTGTTTTTCTGTAAAGTGAAATACATCCAGCGGTGACTATAACCTTTAATCTTTTATTAAAATCATATCAACTTATTTTTTATAATATTACTTTGGCAGTCAAACTTGTTAAAACATACAGTTTATTCCTTTAGCAAGTATGTTATTTTTATAGTTTTAATTTTTGTTAAAATTTTTTATACTTTCTTTAGCAAAAATAAATAAATGCCTTTCTTTAAAACTTTTTTTTTTCCTTTTCAAATTTCTTAAAGGCTTTTGTTTTTTTGATTTTGTTAATATTTTTCTTTTATATACTCTTCATAATTTTTGTATTTAGGATCCATCAATCACTTTGGCTATCCTTTCTAGTCATCCTAAAAAAGACTTCTTTACTCCTTTCCTCTTCCTTTTTCTGTCTTTTGAATACCCATCTTCTTCCTTAGTTGCTAGTGATTTAGTCTTATCTTTCCTTATTTATTATTATTACTTAACATCTTGAGGAAATATGTCTAAAAGATTTAGCATTTTTTTCTGAAACTCAAAGCATGATTTTTCATGACAAATAAATTTATGGCATTATTTTACTTCTATATTGTAAGATATAAAATATCTTTCAAAAATAAAAACATATCTAGCATTTTATCTTATTTATATCAATAATCTTTTTTTCATCATAATTGGAAATACTTATATCTAATTTGTTTATAGTATTATTTATAACTAATTTGTTTGATGTTTTGAAGTTGAAATCTTTCCCCATATGTTAACCATCTTTTGCCATATGTTAATCAACTTTTTTTTTTATCAGAAAAACATTTTTTGATTTGCCAAAGTGCTGACAATAGTATATGCAATGTAAAAAAAATATTTTAAAAGTTGTGCAAATCAAAGGGAATTGCACGAAAAGTCTAAAAATTTTAAAAGACTGTCAAAGGTATTAAAATCAAACTTAAAATACTTTTCTCTATTTACTCATCATAAAGCCAGGAAATGGAATAAAATTCTTTGAAAATCAAAGTTATTTTAGTAAGTGGGAGCTACTTTACATACACACATATATATGTATGTATGTATGTATGTATGTATGTATGTATGTATGTATGTATGTATGTATGTATGTATGTATGTATGTATGTATGTATGTATGTATATATATATATATATATATATATATATATATATATATATATATATATAAATTAGTCTAATTTTTGTTTAGTGATTTATATATATTGTATATATATAAATCACTAAACAAAAATTTTTTTTCATTTTACACTGTGTTTCATCAACAAAGACTCATCAGAAATGAATGATCAAATTAATAAAACTTCAATTTATACCAAAAAATTAAATTACAGGAAGTCGCAAATGTTTTAACTACTGTAAATTTTCACACATTTGTGAAATTTGCTGACACTATTATAAAAAGAATTGATTTTTACTTTAGAAATGATTACTTATGCTTTTTTTTATAAAAAATAATTTTAAAAAATGGGGGGATTTAATGTAACTATTATTTGAGCTCACTTATTTTTATAGTTTATTAGGAGAAACTTATTTTCGTGTCTGCATTTAGAAATCAATTCCGATTTTTTGTTTAACAAACATTCTTGGTTTGCATGTGTAATTATTTGAAATTTTTCTTGTAGACATAGTATGCATTTTTTGGAAGTATTGTTGTATGCAGACGCTGTTTTAAGGATGTACCAATTTAGTATAAAATCATCAATATTTTTATCTTTTAGTTCTCATATATATTTTGACAACATGGTGTCTTTTGTATACTTTTTATTTTTAAAAGATTGTTTATGATTGGCAAAACGTTTTTTCCATTCACCATCTGTTATGCCAATATATTGTTTATCGGGTACATTCTTAAAGGAAACAACACATTTATATATCACATTTTTTGATAAACAACTTCCACTCATTGGACAATTGTTTTTTTGTTTACAATTACAATTTTCTGTAGTTTTTTTATTTAGGATTTCTTTTTTATTTAACAAAGCATTATTATGACCTTTTATAATTTTTTCCATATTTTTTGTGCAACTGTAGCTAACTTTAATTGTATTTTGATTAAAAATTTTATGTAATTTATTAGAGGGAGGGAAGTGCTTATCGAGCAATTTTAAAAACACTTTTCCTATGTTAGTGGAAACATTTTTGCTATATGGGGGGTTGAACCAAATTACATTTCTAGTTCTATTCCTTTTTTTTTGTATTTTTTTTTTCAAATTTTAGTTCAAAATTTTCAAAACCACTTTTTTTAAGGGCATCTTCAAATATTCGTTTGGAGGAATTAAATACATTTTCATTAGAGGAGTTTTGGTTTAACCTGTTATGAATTGAAATCGGGATTTGTTTTAGAATTTGTGGTGGATGATTTGAGTTAATATTAATATACAATAATTCATCGTTTGGTTTTTTAAAAGGCTTATATGAATTTTCAGAGAGGTTAAATGTGACATCAAGAAAGTTCACAATTTTTAAATTTATGTTTATTTTGATTTGAAAGCCAATATTTTTAAAAATTTTTATAAGATCTTTTCGAATCTTATCAAGCTGTGGACCAGATTTTTTACGCATTACTATTGAACTATTGTCGCGATAAAGGCCTAAATCATTTATATTGATTATTTTACTTAATAAATCTAAAATGTATAGTCCAACAAACTCACAAATTTCTGCTCCGTTATAACTGCCCATTGTCACATCAAAGCAGTCGTTAATTGCTCTGTTCTTCTAAGAACATTGAGCACTCTATTTTGTAGAATACATTTTTAAAATTGTTTAAATATATATATATATATATATATATATATATATATATATATATATATATATATATATATATATATATATATATATATATATATATATATATATATGTATATATATATAGGCATAGGCTTTGGTAATAATGGCAGGCTATACCCACGCTCGCCTCCACACCTGTGCAAATCAGTTTACACAAGCAAAATAAAGTCTGTGCAAAATATACATTTTTGGTAAAAATAAAGTTAAATATTTTTATGTTTTTATTTAGTTATTCTCTTAAAAACTTCTCAAATGATATAATTTTGTAAAACTGTTTGTTTTACCAGTTAAAAAACGGAACTATTTCATTCAGGATATGCTAAAAAATTATGAAAAAAATAGTTTTTGAATTTTCTGATGTAAAAATAAAAAATAAAAATTGAACAAGTTATTAAAAACAGCTATAACAGTTCCGTACTATTCTGTGTTATGTTAAAATATAAATAATTAGTATTTTAAAAAGCAGGCAAAATATGCATGTGTTGCAAAAGAATCTAACATAATAGTCCAGGTTTTCAGTATTCTTTGGAAGTTTTTAAACTTATCCAATAAGAACTGTTAGTTAATAAAGACAATTTCTTTTTTTGTATAATCACACATTTTGCTTAATTGATTGATAAACTAGTTTGTCATAATTTAAAGTTGTTTAAAGTAGTGCACATTTCCCTGTATTCTTCCATGTTAACTTCTTGTTTTTTTTTGGAAAAGGCTAAGATATTGTGAAAGTGATGCGAGTGAAAGCGAAGAAACTGTTTTTGATTTTGAAATTGAAGATATTTTTAGCTAATTTATTTAAAATGAATATTAATAAATAATTTATAACTATATATATATATATGTGTATATATATATATATATATATATATATATATATATATATATATATATATATATATATATATATACATATATATTTCTTTTGTATGATAAAAATAATACTATATGAATTCTTCATATTTTATTTTCGTTTTTAAACTTGCGCTGTATTTAATACATTTAAATATTTTTTACAGCAATAAACCTGATATATAAAATAATACTGCATTTAATACCCTTCCATTGACTCTATTTATAAATAAATGTAAAAAAGATTTGTTTTTTTTTAATTCATTTAACGCTTTTTTTATACACGCCTATATTATATAAGAATAAATTTAAGAAGTATATATTTAAGAAGTATATATACTAGAATCTATAAAAATCTGTTTGTACTAAGTCTCTTAGAAATTAAAAATTAGGTTATCTCAAATTTTAACTTACATATCACATCAACATAAAATATATCTTCTAATTTCCGAAAAGAATATAAAATCAATATAAAAGAGTATGATACTAAATTGAACGGTAATAATTAAAATTTTAGTCTAAACAGTTGAAAAACAATTGTAAAGAATAGAAATCTTTGGTTCAAGGTTTATTTAAAAAACAATTTTAATATAATTGTCACTATATCTTTATAGCTTAGAGATATTACGGTTAAATTTATAAAATTTAATTTAATTTACAAAGCACAAGAAAAATGTATTAACTAAAGAAGTGCAATAAAAAAGTTATATTTTATTCCATTGTTTTAATAAGAC